AATTTCGATGTTAAGAAGCTTGCTGTAAGTGTTTCTCTTTGGCTGTACTGATTTCTTCTGTTTTTTATAATGAATATTTACCTTTTAGGAAAGTATCATATATTGTAATTATTTTTTAATATTTGGTGGAAGATTGTTTCAAGAATATGTAATATTACCGAATTAACTGTTGACAATGCTATATGCTTGAGTTGAAAGTTATCTTAGTTTTTTTACAAATGGTGGTGATAATTCGGAAAGTAGTGAAGTACAGCGGAATTTACATCGTGCTTGTCTGAGCTGGGAATTCAACAAATAAATTATCACAAAATGAACTTTGTCAGCCTGACAAACTGTGACACTTGAATGTTCATCATACAGAAATACGTAACTTGTAGTGAATGATTAAGACGATCATAACAGAAAGTGAGAGAACTTTTTAGGACCGCATGATGCATTTTCCACAATGGGTCGATCTCAAGGGGCAAGATTCCGTACCGGAGACTGTTCATCATGTTGTCTGCAAAATTGATGCTAAAATTGATCGTATGTGGATACGACTGAAACCACAGGAAAGGGTGCAGGTATGTTGTTATAATCTAGGGGAAATTGGCAGTTATTATACTTCATCTGTTTTCTTTTTCAGACTGATGGCATCCATATAAATGATGAAATTCGTCCTGGAAGTGACTATCCAGAGACTTTGTCAGAAGGCACAAAAATTCTGAAGGGTGAATACACCTTGAAGGTTTAATTTCATTTTATTCTATTGCGTCTTATATTCAAGTTTCTAAAAGTTCTCTAACTTTTGCGCTGTCTTTTATAGGCTATTCGCCAATGTAATATGGATCAGGGCATCATTTTTTGCCGTACAAAACTTGATTGCGATAATCTGGAAAGGTATCTGAAACGGAAAGCACAAGGTTCGGTTCATAATTATGAAGTATTACAGGAATTTGAATTTTGGGAAGAATTTTCAATCAATGAATTGATTTTAGGATTGGATTTTATCATGAATGTCCATCTTTTATCGGGTTCGAACTTCATGTTTAAATACTGATTTTATAAGTTCTTGTATTCAGACCTTACATGTGTTTGCTTGCATGGTGATCGTCGACCGGATGAAAGAACCAGAAATTTGGATGCTTTTAAGGTTGTTTATTGGTCCAAATATTGTGTAATTTTTCTGTACAAATTTTTTTCTTTGGTAAAGTAAAATTAATTTCAGAAAGGGAAGGCGAAGTTTCTTATTTGCACTGATGTCGCTGCACGTGGTATTGATGTTAAAGGCATTCCATTTGGTTTGTTTGCTTTTTCTAAGCATGAAGATAAGTGATCATACGTTAATCATGATAAAGTGATCATGCAAAAAAATTAATTTAAAAAATATTTAATGCAGAGATTATCGGTGGATGCAAACACAAAATTGTAATATAAACTGAAGTAATTCTATCTCTGCTTTTATAAAAAAATTCTGCAAACAATTAAATTCAATTTTCTTTTCATTTTTTGTTGTATCGACTATTTTGTAGTGATTAACGTAACATTACCCGATGAAAAAGCGAACTATCTTCACCGAATTGGTCGTGTAGGTCGTGCAGAAAGGTATATTTTTTTATTTTTAATTTCTTAACTCCGTTTTAATAATAATTCCTTCCTTGCTTTTGACGTATCAAATTTATTAAGCCAATAATTTTTCAATTTTTTGTTATTTGCATTTTAAACGAATAGGTGTAATTATAAAATGAATTTAAATAAATCAAAAAAGGATCATATTATAAGATTTCTATAAGATGGACGCAGAATAACGACTCTCTCTATTAATTTCTTATCTGGATTTTAAATGCGACCTTTTACAAAATGCTCTCATTTGTTGATTCTAAATGTCTTGAGTTTATGTATTTTATTCACATTTACCGATGCATCCTTATGTCATTCCACACTCTACTAGTTCGGAATAGATTATTTCTTATTCTCTAAATTTATTCGTATTTTAGGATGGGTTTGGCGATCTCCTTAGTTTCAGTACATCCCGAAAAAGTGTGGTATCATAAATGTCCCTCACGTGGTGTAAATTGTTCCAATACGGCTTTAGTGACACAACGAGGTTGTGCAATTTGGTACGATGAGCCAAAGGTTCGTTTTTCAATCTACTTGAATTTTTTTGTTTGAGAAGTTGGAAATCAATTTTCTCTCATGTTTCTTCTATCCTTCGCATCACTGATACAGCGATCATATTGTTTAAGATTTGTTTATATTATAATCAATCCTTGTAAAAATACTTAAATTTTGCTACTGTGAACTTCAGCTTTTGGAAGATATTGAAGAGCATTTGGGTGTAACAGTTCCGCAGATCGATACCGATTTTATCGTGCCAGTTGATGAATTCGATGGTAAAGTTGTTTACGGAGCAAAACGAACTAATACGGGTTTGTATGCTAATTTCTATTTCTTTCATTCCTTAATGTTTTGATTTTTGTTAAATCTTATTTATTTATAGAATTGTAATTTAATATGCTAATTGCATAAGTTTTCAATCATTTTAAAACATTGCTAGTTAGTTACAATTTCTTTATGAACTCCAGTCGTTTTTAGGCTCTCTTTACGAAGGACATGCAGTACAGCTATCCGGAACAGTTGCACAACTTGCAGATTTGGAACGTTCATTACAGCTGTCATACTTGCGAATGTTTGTTGCTTCAGAAAAAAGCAAGTAAAACATTACAGCGACAATGACTTTCAAACGAGTATTTCGAGCAATCAGTGTTTCATGTCTAGCACTTCGAAATATTTTATTTTTATAATGGTTTCGCCACTGTTTTATTCTTTACTGTTCCTTAAATAAATGAAAAAAAAAAAACTAAACCTCGGTGTAAGGTATGGTGAATATATTTTATTTGCGAAGTTTTGTACACTTGTCACGAGATGATAGAAAAATTCATGTTTTTGACCGATATCTGAAGACGTATTGTTGGGAAATGTTTTATTGCTGACTACTGCTTAAGTTGTAATTGCACTATTGTTCAAATTGTAAAAAAGTATTGCTAAAAAAACGAAATTAAATAAAAGATCTTATGTATTACGACGCTCTATCATAATACATAAGATCTTTGTGTAAAATATTTCGGATGGATCATCGAGTAATACCAAGAATGACCATCAGATAATTAAAACTTTTCTTTATTCGCTTCTAAAAACTGCGTTATGCTTATAAAATACTTTTTCTTGAGCTATTCCGATATATCAAGCGTTAAATTCTATGAAACGATTAAGATAAAAATAATTCATTTTAATTGGCGCATACCTTTGAATTGTCTCTTGGCTAATACTCTGTTTTTAAAAAATGATGTTTCTATTTCGAGTAAACTGCGCCTAAGAAATTATCGTGTAAGGCGACAATTTCTGGTTACCTTGGAAAAACAATGCACATTAGCTTAGCGTTCTGCTTAGCCATTCTCAACGATGATTCAAAATTTAATCTCGAACTGTGCGATTTGTTTGAAGTCGTCCTAGGTTCTTTAAGGTGCGGGTTTCCGAAGGTGGGCAGCTTTTGAATGTTTAGATTTTTAAATAATGAAATGTCGAAAGTCACTTTTAGGTTTCGAAACTTCATATCATTTTATTATTTTGTTTTTTTCTGGTCTCCAAATTTACATAGAGTATGCAACTGCACTTTTGTTGACTTTCAAATTTTCTAGAATATTGAAACAATTTGAAACTGCAATTGAAAATAGCGTGCAAAGTTTTCCATTTTCCAAAGTGCTATGAATTCATCCGACTGCATTCTAATATTTTTTTATCTAAAAAATATTGGAATGCTTGGAATTTTGAAGACCTGCTTTCCATTGTTTTCTGAGCTTCTCTTTTTTATTGAAGCAAAATTTGTTCCCTTTTTGCCACCGAAACAATCCAAAGTACATTGTTTGATCATAATGTATCATTTAATTACTTATTTTATTTTATTGCTTTCTTATTTTTTTTGATTTAGAAGTTGAATTTGCCGTGATTGATTTTTCATTAGTAAGGTTTATCCTTGAACTATTGATTTATTAGCTATTTAATTTAAAAACATCCAAATTCATCTGATTAATCAAGTCTACAACCACTATTAATAATGAATTGCGCAATTAAATAAAAGATCAAATTTAAAGCTAAGAGATCTCATTTTCGAATTCAGTTTCATCTAAATTATTCAGCTTTTAAAACTCTAAATGATTTTTAATTTTGTATCATTCTCGTTTCGTTTGAAAAATTTCATTTTTAAGAAATTTTGCTAGGAACTTTTGCACTTAAACATTGCAGATAACTTTTTTCTCCGTCAAAATTTCAAATTTCGAATTTAACTTTCAGTTTCACATGATCTAACAATTGTCGTTAAATTGCCGAAAAAAAAACTAGAATAGAACATAAGCTTCGTAAGATTATTAGAAATAAATAATTTTTTGAGTAAAATAATTGTCGCTGCTGATTGCTTCAATGAGCTTATCAGTTAGCTCATTACGGTCATATACATGAAAGTGACAAGTGAACACATCTGATAAGTTTGATAGAATATTAAATAAAAACTTAATTAAACATTCTCACGTCTCAAGTCACTACCTCTATACATAGCATCAAATGCATAACTTATGATCCTTTAAACCATTACTTAAGCTAGCAGTATAGTGAATACTATTCCAAATAATTTCATTAGATAATAAATGTTTAATAAGTTCATACAGTTCATTGTTATACCATTATATTCAAATTATATTTCGTTCAAGACGATTTGTGATGCGACATTTTAGTATTAAAGTAGAATAAATTACGGTTTCAATGATTCTACTCTTTGAAAATACATATTTTTCTCTCAGATAAATCTTACAAATACCTTATAAATGATTATAGCTTTTCATTTAGCTCCTTCTCAAGACATTTTTAAAAAATCATGAATAAAATTTTCTTGCTCTAAAAATATCACAGATTTTGAACAATCAAATGATAGCCGAATGCGATAACTCCTATTTTATTAAACAAAATACTCAGGAAGTATTTAAGAATTCATGAAAAACAAAATTGTTGAGCAATTGCGAGGCACTGGGTCGTTTGTCTACTTCACGTTCAAATATTATACTAATAAGATATGCTAAATTAGGATTAACTTCTAATGGTAATTCATAATTGGGATTATGTTTGGCAATGTTGGAAATGATTGCCATTGGTTCCAAATCATCCCATGGTGGTTTTGTTGTTAACATTTCCACCAAAGTACAACCAACACTCCAAATATCGGCCTTACGGCCATGTCTTCTGCGCCCAAGTACTACTTCTGGTGCCATATAATTTGGTGTACCAATAAATGTCGTAGCTGTTGATGAAAAAATTAAATAAGAAAACCTTAAAATACCTTGGAATGTTTGCTTCCATGAAATGGTCAATTAATAGTGAGTAATCTTTTGTAAATGATTTAATTAATTTATACCTACTGAACAGTGAGTTAAGAGTGATGGTAATGCAATGAATCAAATGATATTACAAAAACAATTTTACAAAAAATTTACCTAATTTTGTTAAAAACAATTAAATTTTTAGTTCTTTTTTTAAAAGATTATTCATTTATTTTATTATCCAAAAAAATTTAGACCTTTTTTTGAATTTTTGTTTTTAACAAATTTTTTAAAAATAATCATTACAATAAAATGAAAAATTGAAAATATTTGCTAATTTTATTACAAAAGCTCACCCTGTTGACTGCAAATTGTTTGTAATCGTTTTGCTGAACCAAAATCACCAATTTTTACATTACCATTAGAATCGCGTAAAATATTAGCCGGTTTAATATCACGATGTATAATTTCATTTCTGTGTAAATATTCCAAACCTTGCAGGACCTGATAAGTATATTTACCTGCAACTGTGCTACTCAACGGTCCATAAGTTGCAATGCAATCTTTAACCGATCCGCCGGTCATATATTCAATAAATATACAAATTGAATCATCAATTTGCTGTGCGCCAAGATATTGAACAATTCGATCATGCTGAATGGTACTTAGTAAATTAATTTCATTCGCAAGTTGGATTATATGATTCTTCAAATGTTTATCACCACGGCAAATATTGAACCTGAAATTTTAATTAATAATTAAATCAAAATATTTAAATCAATCAATATATTTATGTCAGCAACCCGTATGTAAAGGTTATTGATGAGAAATAAAAAATTTATGATCAAACTTCATGAAAAATTTCTAAATGCACTCTCACTCTTTTCCTTTTTCTAATGAATTCTTCTTCCTTTCCATTAATCAATCATTGATGATATTGCAATAGCAAGAAATATTGACATGCATGAAATTTCCAAAAAATGCTGCAAACTTTATCCGAAATCTTGTTCAATCAGATTTTTTTTTATAAATTGCATTCTATAAATTTTGACATAAATCTATCACATGACACTTTTTTATTTTTTAATTTATTAACTTTGAAAGATGATTTCTTGGAACAAGCAATCTGAATGAATGTAATTTATTGTTGTGTTTTAAATTAGCCTACTTTTATCAAACTTGACAGTCTGCACTAAGCATTTGACCCATTCCGAAATTGAACATTTCATTTATTTCCAGTGTGGTCATCATTAGTGATTTATTCAAATATAAAATATCAACGAAGTAATTGCTTCCAAAAAAGAATTCATTATTATTTTTCTTTTTTTTTTGTAAATTAAGATTAGGTTAAATTACTAGCTAACTTTTCAGATGTAATCTATCTTGAATATAGTCCAGCTTGGACATTTAATTTTTATGCATGCAGTTTCTTTTAATCAGCAAGAAAAAGTTCAGCTGATAAAATTTCATTTGAAATTGAAACTACATGCTACTGTTTAGATAATTTTCTGATCAACCTTTTCAGGGCTACTTCTTTTCCGGTATCCACATCAACGCATACATAAACCTTGCCAAAAGCTCCGGAACCAATGCATTTGCCTTGTTTCCAATTATTTGGCGCACATTGTATGCTCGTATCTTTTTGAAAATGCTCATCACAATCAGCAAGTACCACACCACTGCTCACACTGCTACCATTTTGCCTAGAAGTACTCATCATTCCGGTACTTGTACTGGAACACGATGATCGACATTCCCAATACGGAATCTGCAAACTAAACTTTTGATTTTTGCATTTATTAATAATGTTAGGTAAGAAATGTAGGCATTTTTAGATTTAAATCTTGCATTAAATATCGTTTGAAAATTGTTATTAACTTCGTAAGACTTTAAACTTGCGAAAAATAAAATTCATTATAAAGTTTTTTAACACACAAAAATGGGAAATAAGTGGATTGACTGGACCGAATTTTCGATTCCAATATTTGGATTTACAGATCAAAAAACGAAGTTCCATAATTTTCTTTGCAGAAATGTATTTTTATCACTAAGACTGTAAATCCAAGTCAATTAATTAATTAGATGTGATAAATGAGGAGTTTTTGAAGAAATTACGATCAGTCAAAGCTGAAATAATTTCCAATCGTTCAAACTTTCATTAATATATTAAAATGAATACTTGGCTTTTTTGGCACTAATTTCTAAATATTTTCCGGTCATTTCGATTTTTTTTTATTATTTTCTTTTTTATACTTTACATATTTCTCCTATAATCAATTTTTCATTGTTATCATCTTTAGACTTTTTTTTTTCAAATAACTGAAATATCAAATTCAAACAGCTGAATGATTTCTCTTATCAAAAATTCAAGTGATTAAAATGATGCCGCTTATCAGAAAATGCTTGATTAACTGAATTCATTTACATACAACTAAAGAGATGATTAAGTAAACAGTTGATCGAATGACAAAGTAAATTGATAGCTTTTCTTAGCTGACATATTGTAAATGTATTTAGATGAAACAAATTTCGTAATGAAATTGAAAATAGCTATTTCAGTTAACAGATCAAATTCAGCAGCTACTCACTGTTCGTAATAAAATTTTATTGCAATCAAAAATCTGACCTCAACAATTTTTGATGATTGAACTGAAAAAGTTCCAGATGCATCCGGAATTGGTGAGCATGCAAGCAGTGATGGTAATCGATTATCCGGTTGATATCGAGATAGTAGCAGACGTAAACTTCGTTGATGCGCTGTACGATCTAGGTCGACTAATTCAACTGCACGATCTAACTCCAACTGATTTCGTATCGGTACAATCAGTTCATGATTACGCAGAGTGTAATAAATATTCAGTTTCAAATTACATCTCGAATTTAGATGTACTTGAAGTTCATCAAATACAAGCGGCCGATCCATCTCAAAACAAAATTTCTCACCGCGAAATTCCGCTTTAATTCGAATTTTGAAATCAGTAAATGGTGCACTACTGATAGACACTTGCTCCTTAGCGGAATTAATCATCATTTCTATCAAGCCATTCCGGATTGCAGAACAAATATCAGCTCGGATAATTTCTTGTTCTTCCTTTTCTTCTATCTTATCGTTCATTTTCCGCTCTAATATCTATTAAAATTTTACTTCCAAAAAAATATGTATAGATACTGATGGGAAATTCCTGTAAATATTGTTGTTTCAGATTTTATTCCAAATTAAAAATTAAATTAAATAGTTGAAACATCCAGGATTGTTAGATTTGACTAGCAAATTTAAGTGATAAAATTCTCTCAATAGCTAGCAGAAATGTTTTTATAATTGGTAGTTGAAAATTTATTTCCAGTTTTGGATGGAATAGACGAAAGGATGGATGGATGATAGAGATAATAATGATGACAATGGTAATGATAGTGTTGACAAGTGGTTTGGTGATATTGAAGAATGGTACGGGGTAAATGGTATATTTGTACCATTGCCGCATGCACGGTTTTGAAAATGACAAAATGAGTAAGCGAATGATGACGAAAGCATGCAATAAATTATATTGACATTATTACATACCAGAACAGGAAATAAAGTAGCTGTTCTTTACAGACGACCAAATAGGACAATTTTGATAAAAAAGGAAAAAAAAACGAAGCGGAAGATGATGACGAATAGTATGACATCTACAAGTACCATAGCGCCATCAACCGTGTTTCTTTCATTTTTTTTTTCTTATCGTAGATTTCTTGTAAACAAGTGAAATGGTTTTATCCCAGTGCAGTATGCATGCAATTCATAA